TGCTTATTACTCAGTTTCTCTTTTTTCCCCGGGTGGAGGTTGGTCTGTCCAGGGGGCTATGCTGTTCTGGCCCAGGCTTGTCTGTGGGAGAACCGCTTACCAGGAAGCTCACCTGGTCCACGTCTTCCCAAGCTGTCTGGGCGCCAGCGAGTGGCGGCCCGGGGCCCTCCTGATTTCTCCGTTTAATGTGAAGTGGAGATTCTCTGCACTGGCTCGAGATGTGGAGGGGTCAAAGTTATGCCTCTTCTCAGTGATTATCCCTGCAAAGTGTGTCTCCAGCGTCTCTCCACGATTTCACTATAGGAGGCTTGCTTTCTGCTTCCTCCCTCTAGCCGCCATCTTGGAATCCACCTCTCTGTCAATTATTAAGGATAATTTGGTGGATACAGTAATCTATGTTGGTAGTTATTTTCTTTCAGGGCTTAAAATGAATTGTTCCATGTCCTTTCTGCTTTTAGAGTTTTTATTGAGAAATCTGTTATTCTGATGGGTTTGCCTTTATATGCAGCTTGCTGATTCTGTCTTGCAGCTTTCAGTCTTCTTCCCTTGTACTGTGTACACAGTGTTTTATGTTTAATATGATGTAGTGAGATTGTTTTCTGGTCAATTTGGTGTTTAAAAATCCTCATGTAGCTAGTTGATAATTTCTTTTCCAATATTTTGGAAAATTTATGCTGTGATTTTCAAACATGTTTTCTATGCATTTGCCTTGCAACTTTTCTTATTCTTGCCCATGATTTGTAGGTCTGGCCTTGTGATGACGTCCCATAGTGTTGCATGTTCCATTTGTACTTTCTTATTTTTTTCCTTGTTGTTATCTGAATGTTCTAATCTTCTCCCTTGTCTTTAAGCTTTACAGTCTGTCTTTCACTTAATGCGGTCTATTAGTAAGGCCTTCAACTGAGGTTTGTTTTTTGTTTTTGTAAAATGTAGGTGTTTATTTCTAGAATTTCAATTTTTTGTAGGATTTCTATAACTTTATTGACTTCCTTATTCATAGCCTACATTGTGTCCTTTTTGATTTTGTTGATCATTCTTATAATCATTCTTTTGGCTTCTCTGTCTGCAATTTCATCCACTTTATAGTCATTAAAGTGCATTGTTATGGAATTGTCTTTTGGAAGAATCATGTTGCCTTATTTCTGTTAGGATTTGTACATCTTAGGTCAAAACATCAGTTGGAAGTTTTAATCACCTATGGTTTTTCAGCTGTAGTATTCACATTGTGTAGGCAGAACTGGGTAGTGGCAGGATTGAAGTAAGTTTCTCACCACTGGACTGGCGTATCGCTCAGTAGTCAAATATTCATTCTTGTGCTCATGGTAGTCCCAGCGCTAATAACAGTACCAGTACCAGTCAGAGAAAGGAAGACTTTTGAAGTGTCTTTTAGCTACTGGTGTTTAGGTTGGAGCTGTTCATGTGCTGAGGGTAGGTCTGGTAAAGGTCTTTTTGTATTGAGAGGTGCTTCTGGCTTCAAGGTCCCTTGCTGCTTGTGTGCCAGGCAGGTACCTACTTGCTCCACTGGTCCTCCGTGTTCCCCCAAAGGCAGCAAGCATCCACGCCTAGGGGCATCCCCTGAATGCATTGGAGAGTGTAGGAAGCAAACAGAACACAGAGTTCTGGACTGGAGAAGGAGACCTGAGGAAGTCAGGTGCTCTGCCTGCTGATGTCAGTGCTCTCAGACCCCAAGTAGCCTATTAGTCAGTCACCCTGTGTAGGGAGGACATTGGTGAAATCACATGAGCTGAGGGACCTGGGCTCAGAATTTTGTCCCACCCTATAACAACCATCTCATAGTTGGGAGTAGGAGGCAGAACACTCTGCCAGCCACAGGCTTGGCGCTCAGAGGTCTGTTTCTGCAGTCATCTTCAGTGATGAGGTTTGTTCTTCACCTCAGAGGGTGGGGCTGCTGCCCATTGTGCTCATCACTGCCTGAGCTCCCTACCACTTAAACTTCTCAGTGGGCCAATGGCTCATGACTGTAGTCCTAACTACTTGGGATGCCAAGATTGGGAGGATCACTGTTCCAGGCCAGCCTGGACAAAAATATGTTCATAGGGCCCCCGTCTCAATAGAAAAAGTTGGGTATGGTGACATGTGCCTGTTATCTCAGCTATTGTGAGAAGCATAAATAGGAGGATCATGATCTAGTGCAAAAAGCAAGACACTATCTCAAAAGTAACCAGAGCAAAAGGACTGGAGGTGTGACTGATACGGTAGAGTGTCTGCCTTGCAAGTGCAAAATCCTGAGTTCAAACCACAGTACTGTACCCCCTCCCACCTCCCCCCCAAAACACCCCAAACAGAAAACTTCTCAGTTGTTCCATGATCCCCATCTCTCTCACCCAGATACTGTGGCAAGGTGTTCCCAGGTTCCTGAACCATGGTAGTTACTTGTTTTCAGGTCTCCAGAGTAGCTCAGTCTCAAACCATAGGCCCTCTGTGAAGATGGTGCACTCCAAGATGCGGGGAATAACAAAATGACTATCTTCCAGTGCTAGCCTGCCACCTAGTAGTAGTCACTGTTACACCAAATCCCTGCACTGGGTTTAAGAGCTGCGGGAAATGTGAGCTTATCCTGCAGCTAGATCTGCCAGTGTGTGCCCAGGGCCGCCGCCTGTCTTACTTTGTGGTGGTTGCCCCTCCTCACCTCCCCAAAATCTGGTGTTGGAGTTGTTCACTGTTTCTGACCCTTCTCTGTTGCCTTCCTGTTTCTCCTTGCTTTGCAGCTGTCCTGTCACCTCCTTTCTGATTTCCTGCTGTGCTTCATCTCTTTTTCTCATTAGAATATAGTCTGTCCTGTTACCCTGACTCTTCTTTTTCTTAGAGTCAAATAATCTACCATATTGTTCCACCACTTTTGCAACTCTGTTTTTTGGGGTTAGATTTGCTAGATACCTTACCTTTTAATATGGCTCAAAATCATCCTTTAAAACGCTTACTGACAATAAAATTGCCAATAGCTTTGTGTATTTATAAATTGAAAATTTATTAGCATAATTGCTGGTGGTGCAGTATTACTTGCTTCTGTATTATGACTGTACCTCCTTCCAATCTTTTTTGCTTGACATTTAAATATTATTAAAATTTTATTAATGTTTTTCTTATGTATATATGTTTTTGTCAGTGTCCTTGTTTTGCTGTCTCATGCCAATCAGTGCTGTGGTAGAGTGGGACTGGGACTGGTAGAGTGGCTCAAATGGTAGAGTGCCTGCCTAGCAAGTTTGAGGCCTAGAGTTCAAACCTCAGTACTGCCAAAATAATAATAATAATAATAATAATAATAATAATAATCGTCACCATCATCATCATCATCATCATCATCATCCTAACTACTCAGGAGGCAGAGATCAGGAGCATTGTGGTTTGATGCTAGCCCTGGCCAAAGAGTTGCAGAGACCCTATGTTGAAAATACCCAAACCTCAAAAGGGCTGGTGGAGTAGAGTGCCTGCCTAGCAAGTGTGAAGCCCTGAGTTAAACCTTAGTGCTGCCAAAAAAACACAAACAAAAAAAGCCAACACCCCCCCACCCCGAAAAAATTCAGAAGTCTGATAACACTAAGTGTAGTTAAGATTTGATTTGAAGAAATGGGATCTCTCAGTGCTGCTGATCATAGAGCAGATGAGTGAAAGTTGTTCGTAGGAGTTGGCAGTGTCCCCTGAAGCTCCAGTATGCACATAATGAATTGGCAATTCTATTGTTAGCTTTTTGTCATCACAAGATGAAGGTTGCCCTCAACGCAGAGAAACTAAAGCAGATACCTTAAAAGCAACTGAGGCCAATAGGAAAAGGGGACCAGGAACTAGAGAAAAGGTGAGATCAAAAAGAATTAACCTAGAAGGTAACACCCACGCACAGGAAATCAATGTGAGTCAATGCCCTGTATAGCTATCCTTATCTCAACCGGCAAAAACCCTTGTTCCTTCCTATTATTGCTTATACTCTCTCTACAACAAAATAAGAAATAAGGGCAAAATAGTTTCTGCTGGGTATTGAGGGGGTGGGGGGGAGAGGGAGGGGGGCGGAGTGGGTGGTAAGGGAGGGGGTGGGGGCAGGGGGGAGAAATGAACCAAGCCTTGTGTGCACATATGAATAATAAAACAATAAAAATTAAAAAAAAAACTGGAAATAGTATAAATGTGATTATAAATAGTATAAAAAGAAGAGTGGGTTGCACACTGTTATATTCATATGTTGGGATACTAGATAGTAATTAAAATCAATAAGGTTAATCTAAATTATCAACAAATTTAGATCTCAAAATCACGTGAACAGTATGGTACCGTAAATAAGAGTTAAATCCATTTGACAACATATCGTAGTATTTATAAGTACATTCAATACATGCAAATGTATAGAAACAAGAACTAAACTATCAAATTCATGATAGTGTTTCCTTCTGAGGAAAGAATGAAAACACAGGAAGTGTTAGCTATGTCTTCAAATTTAATATTCATGAAAAAAACAAACATCTGAAACCTAAACATAAGTAATTCACTTCAGACTATTCCTGGAATGCAAGAAGTACTTCCATCTTTTACTCTTTGTCTCCAGATTGTGAGATTATGATTGCTTGTCTGAAATTTTTTTGTAGTTTATATTTTCTGTATTCTGGACACTGAAACATTCACCATTATAATCATAGAGCAGTTTTTTTTTTTTTTTGGGTTTTTTTTTTTGTGATGCTGGGGCCTGTACCTAGGCAAGCACTCAATAATGAAGCTAACCCCCATGCTGTAAGCAAACTTTAAATTAAAAAGACCTCTTTGTTTTACTTAACTTTGTTATCTTTTTTGGGAGGATGAACTGAGTGAGCAGGACACTTATATTCCATATCAGCCAGTATTTAAATTGCCAGTGTTTTCTCTGTATTGTTCCTTTTTTTCCCTATTGCATATTTGCTATTCTCATTAAAGTTTTTACTCCATTTGGCTTTTCAACAAAATAATCCAACTGTTTGTCTTGAACTTACTTTTGAACTTTGCCTTTTGCTATTTAGGTGAAAGAAGAGATGCTATTTGAAGCATTAGTAACGAGGAAGACAGTCACAGTGGGAGAAAAGCTTGTTTTACCATACAAGCTGGCAGAGGTATGGTTTTCTTTGAAATCAAAGAATTTGAACATTTTTAGCAGTTTGTGTGTTTTTTTTCTCTTAACAAAATGAAAATAACATTAAACAAAAAGTGTTGATTGAAATTTTTTCTAGGCCTGTGGAATTTGATCATGAGTTTTTTCATTGATTTACAAACTTGAAATTTTTTTCTTCAAGGATCTTAATCTCATCATCATTCTGAGTTTCATGGTGTTAATGTCGGGAAGTAGATGGTAGGCAGAATTGTAAATGAGCACTGTTGGTTCCCGTGGACTTCCTCAGGTGCTCTCCTTAGTTACTCTAGCTCTTTACACTGTGCTTGTTTAATTTTTTATTGTTGGCCACTCCTTTGCCATTCTTTTTCCTCCCTCCCTCTTTTCCTTCCTTTTTTTCCCCTCCTTCTATCCTTTCCTTCCTTCCTCTCTCCTTTTGCTATAGGATTATTTGTGTCCCACAGACACATCCAGGGGTGTGTTTTTCTAGTCTCCTAGGCATCCTCAGTCCAGTCAAGTTGACAGTCAAGATTGTCATCACAGGAAGGGAATTACACAGAACATGCACACCAGGGAATGACAATTTTTGGGGCCATTTTAGGATTCTGTCTTAACACAGAAGGCAAGAATTGGATGTAGAGAGAGGAGTTCAGAGGCTGTTAGGAGTGAGGAGAAAGATGTTTGCTTTGTCTAGAATGATGATATATTGATTAAAGAAAAAATCTAGATGGTAAGCTCAATAGAAGAATGACTTGAATAATGGTGGGCAGGAATAAGAAGGAGGTGTCAAGGTGGAGCCCGTGTTTCTGGTTTACAGGATTATGAGAACATTGGTACTTCTCAAGGGGATAGGAAATGCTCAGTGAGGTCTTGGGGAAGGGGAATATTATTTCGTATTAGGGTTATAAAAGGCTGGACTGCATTTTAGAGAAAAGGGCTGGGAGCATAAGATTCGGTGGAGTTATGGAATAAATGAGTATTGGTATATCTGAATTCTTGATGATTGATGTTTTTATAAAAATGGCCTAAGCAGATAGTACTACATTTTAATCTGAAAGTCTGCCTTTTAATTGAAAATTGAACTCATAAAATTTATTGTGATAGCATGCTTATTCTGTGTCTTATTGCTTGTTTATTTAGTTTTAAAATATTTTGCTTTGCTGGAATTTGATCAGATGGTCTCCATTTTTTCTGCCTTCTGGGGTAAAACAATGTTAATCAACTATACTGTATATACTTTCTAGTACTGGTTTTCTTGATAGTTTCAAGATACTTTGTTGATAACTTGGCTAAATGTAGAATTCTAGGGTCACATTGTGTTTTCTCTCAGAACTCTGAAGAACTTACATATATATTCAAGTTTTTTATGTTGACATTTTGATCTTACGAAGATAATTTGGTATTGGTCTTCTTTTTTCTCTGTAAGTAATTATTTTTTGTGAGGAAACTTGAAACTTTTAGTGATAGTGGGATTTGAACTCAGGACCTCAGGCTAGCTAGGTAGGCGCTCTACCACTTGAGCCATGCTCCAAGTCCCTTTTGGTTTAGTTACTGTTTTCCAGTTAGGGTCTCACTTTTTTGTGCCCAGGGCTGCTTCAGACCGTGATCCTCCTACCGTTGCTTCTCACATAGACATGTACTTCCACACCCAGCTTGTTCTTTGTCTTGCTAACTTTTTGCCCTGGGTGGACTTGAACAGTGATCCTCCTATCTCTGTTACAAGGTGGTTTCAATTACAAGCTTGAGCCACTGCACTGGCCTTTGTGAGTGAGTGAGAGAGAGAGAGAGAGAGAGAGAGTGTGTGTGTGTGTGTGTGTGTGTTGTCTTGTTTTGAGACAGTGTCTCACTGTGTAGTCCAGGTGCTGGGATTACAGGCAAGTACTATCATGCCTGGCTTGATGCTTTTTGTTAATCCTTGAAATTCAGAAATTAATCTATCACCTTTGTGTTATAAGTTGTAATATTATTTCCAATTTACAAATGTATAATACTATAGCTTAAGAATTTAAGCGTCCTTACTGTGGTTGCATAGCTAGAATAAGATAAATACAGTTTGGAAGGTAGTTGAGTTCTCAATCATTAGTCTCTATTTCCTCTACACTTCAGAACAGAGATACAAAAGCATACCTGAATATACAAGCTTAAAAATATGCTCCCAGGTAATAAATCTATAAATTATTAGTATTTGTGCTTTAAGTGCCAGGACTCAATTCTGTGAGATCTAGGCCTTATTTTTTTGTATGCTCAAGTGCATTTTAAATGGTGAATTTTCTTTAATTTATAGGCTTTATTTTTTAGAACAATTTTGAACTTAGAACTAGTACAGAGAATTTCCATAAACTGGAAAAATCTTGAAGTGAGGGAAAAGATAAACTTTCTAAGTACATCATGAAGGAGTTGACACTCTTCCTGGGGTGGAGCGGTTGTAGAAGATGCGTGGAGACACTGAAGACCAGAGTGCCACTGTGGGCTTCTGAGCCTATGCTTCAAGCGCGTGAATGTGTCCACCAGGCACAGATGCCTTTTTGCTAGAATGTTCTTCCCCACTTCAGCTGGTGAGGTCGTTTGTAAAACTTCCCATTATGCATTCTTTCTTTTCAGTAAAAATGCTTTGAACTATTAGTTTCAGTTTCATGACAATTTTAGTTTAAATTCCCTGAGTTGGACTAAATTAGTACATACAGAAAACTTCAATTATAAGATACTTATATTGAGATAAAAATTAGTTTCTATTTCAGGATAGTATATTTTCTTTCTTGAGAGCAAAAACATACTTTGTTTTAATATCTTAGATGCTATTATCAATTCCACTTTGCACTCATGCAACCCTCTTGTTTTGTAGGCTGTGACAGTAAGGAACTCCATGGCTAAATCTCTGTATAGTGCTCTGTTTGACTGGATAGTCTTTCGAATTAACCATGCACTTCTGAATGGTAAAGATCTGGAGCACAATACCAAGGTAAAGATGTGTTGGTTCATGATATCTTTTCCTCTGGAGACTGCTTCATAAACTGCTTCCTACCTGACATTTTAAAGCACAGGAGTATATAGAGTAGTAAATATCACCTTTTCTTCAGTTATTTATGCTGTCTTTACATGAATTGTTCTGTGTCTTCTATGTATTTACATACTAAAAGCATGCATGTACACTTTCACTTAAAAATATAAATAGAATAAAACAGTTGTATTCTTTGAAATGTCTATTTTTACATCAGCTCTCTTGAAACATACTGTGTCATTATGTATCTGAGCATTTTTTTTCTTTTCTCCTTTGTGTCATTATTTTTAATGATTTTGTAGTATATAGTATACTACTATAAATTCACTAATTAAAAGCAAATTAGTTTTGTTTTATTAGAAACAATGTTGTAACAAATGTTACTATTATTAATTCATTTTCTCCAGACAGGATCTCGCTGTGTAGCCCAGGCTGTCTAGAACTTGAGACCCTCCTGCTCAGCCTCCTGAGCCCTTGGGATTGTGTACTACAATGCTTGGCTACATTTTTTTTTTTCTTTTTTTTTTTTTGTGGTGGTACTGGGTTTGAGCTTAGGGTCTTGTTTTCCTAGGCAACTGCTTTACCACTTGAATCCCACCTCCAGTCCTCTTGCTTTTTGCTGTAGGTTATTTTTCAGCTGGGGTCACCCCGGCTGGCCTGGGATCGAGTTTCTCCTTCTGTGTAGTTGAGATGACAGCACTTGCCCCCAGGCCTGTCTTGTTTTGTTGAAATGGTGTCTTGCTACCTTTTTGCCCAAGCTGGTCTTGAACCTCGGTTCTTCCCACCCCCTGAGTAGCTTAAAGTGCTTTCCATATGGGACTGTATGCTTCCACCAACAGAATAATTTCTGTTACCTATATCCACTGGTCATCATCAGTGCTTATATTTCCTAAGGGATGAGTGCAGCTATCCCATTTTTCTTTTTTGCCATTCTTTTCAGTGATGTAGGTTGTTCTCTTGATTTTCTTTCTTCTCTGTATTATTTCTTTGTATCTTAATGCTGTCTGTTGGTTACTTTTCCCTTTTTAGTAGCTGTTTCTTATGGACAGTTCAGAGATTCAGTTTGATGTATATTGTACATTTTTTTAAGTTACTTGACTTTTAACATTTGTTTATGCTATGTTTGTATATAGCTATTTCTGTCATTCTTCCTTTCTAGTCCTGTGTTCTATGTATTTATTTACTTAGGAAGGCCTCTTCTAGTCCAAGATTATGCATTATTTAGTAGTATACTTTTCGTTTAGGCTTTTTTCCAATTGGAACTTATTTTTTTTTGTGGTAGTGGGGCTTGAACTCAGTGCCTTCCTCTTGAGTCAGTCCACCAGCCCTATTTTTTTTGAAGGATTTTTTGAGATATATCTCACGGAACTATTTGCCTAGGTTGGCTTCGAACTGTGATCCTCCTTAATCTCTGCCTCCTGAGTAGCTAGGATTACAGGCCTGAGCCACCAGGCATTGGAACTTATTTTTAATATGGCAGATAATATGTATTTTAGGTTTAATTGTTTCAATAAGTTTTATTATCTCAGTAACCCTTATGCAACAAATTGAGTAGAACTGTCATCTTTATTGTTTTTAATCCTAAAAATGTAGAATTGCTCTTTTTATTTTTTTGTATTTCAAATAGCTGTAAAATTGGTTTAAATTATAACCTAATTTATCAAATTGCCTTATTTTTGAAGGGTATTATTAATTTTGGTGGTACTGGGATTTGAACTCAGGGCCTCACACTTGATAGGCAGGCACTCTCCCACTTGAGCCATTTCACCAGCCTGCATTATTTTTATTTTTTAAAGGTCCTCTATTTAGCCAACAGAATTAATCACAAAATCAAGAGAATTATTCATAAAATATTGTTTTAGTACAGTCTCTTTTAAAAATTGCCAGCAGTGTGGTTTGAACTTGTGGCCTGACACTTGCTTAGCATATTTGAGCTGTGACCCAGCCTTCTCAGTGCAGAGTTAAAAAAAAACAAAAAACAAAAAAAAAAACCCCAGTGTTTTACATTCATTATATCAGTTTGCTCTACATCTCTTAGCACCATGGAGAGAAATTTTCATTTAACAAAAATTGTCCTACTACTATATTTTAAGAATGAGGTGGAGATTGGTATGGTGGGGCACGTCTGTAATTTCAGCACTCTCGAGGCTGAGGCAGGAGGTTTGGGAGTTCAAGGCCAGCTTGGGCTATATAGGGAAACCCAACAAGTTCCTCTTACCCCCGCCCCCAAAAAAAGAGAGAATGAGATGGAACAATAAAAGTTGTTTTTTATTCATCTATTAGAGCTGAATCTGTGTCATGTGTGGTGAGAAGTTACAAAGATAATGTTTAGAATAAAATATCCAGAAGCAGAGGAACAGACCACTCTCCACACTGTCAAACACCTAACAGATTTAAGAGTTGTTCACTTCAAAGAGCAGACAGTGAGCGTGAGGAAAGGATTGCTGGTTTTTCTTAGAATCTTTTTGAGCTAGTATTTTAAACCTTGTATTATTTGTTTGTTTTTTTGAGTATGGGTCTTGTTATGTAGCCCAGGCTGGTAACTTAACTCTACAACCTACCTGCCTCCCGATTGCTGGGATCATAGGTGCACATCACCATGCCTGGATCATTGAGGCTCTTTTATTTGTTTAAGTAAAAATTCAATTTTAACCTTATGAAACTAGATGCTTTTGTATCTCATATCATTCTTAACTTGGATGCAACTAATGCAATACACTTCTTAATTAGTTCTTAAAGCCAAATTCCATTTATTGGGGTGTAGAAGTCGAATTTGGAAAAATGAAAGTCTTTGCATCGTCAGGAGTAACCTAGCTCTGCTGAGTCTTCACTTGAGTAGCCCTTTGATTTTTCTCATCCCCGTGGCTTCAGTTCCTCTTGGCGCTTAGGGATGGCTGAATTTAGGAATTTGTCAGATTTCTCAGGCTGAGATATAAGTACATTTTTATAATGTAAACAGAAATTACATGTATTAAAAACGTGTTTTACAATTAGGATAAAGTGTGCTGAAAGTGGATTACATGTGTGAAAAATTTGAATTAAAAATAATTAGGATAAAAATTAAAATGAAGATGAGATATAAAATTTTTTGTATTGAAAATAGTAATTTTATTTGAGTGAAGATTATTTACAAAAACCCCAAGCATACATTATGAAACTAGTATAAGCTATTTTTCCTGTCATTGCCTTTGCCCCAAAGAGCACAGCCAAGAAATGTTGTATAAAATGAAACTAGGATCAGTATTCTACTGTTTTAATTTCCAATTGATAGCAGCTATAGAAACATTTATAATGGAGAAGAGTTACTTTAAAACTAGTTAATTTGTAAGTCTGCCTGAAATACCTTACAATGAGAATTCTTATAGTGGTAAAAACATACAAATGGTTGGAATTGGTGGCCATTCAAGCTTGTTCTAGTTACTTGGCAGGCAGAGATGGGGAGGATTGCAATTTGAGGCCAGCCCAGGCAAAATGTTCCTGACACTCCCATCTTGGTCAGTGATGAGGTATGATGGTTCTGTCATCCTCAAGCTATGCAGGGAAGCACAAATAGGAGGATCGTGGTCCATGCCAGCCCTGCATAAAGTCAGACCCTATCTAAAAAATAACCAATGCAGAAAAGACTGACAGAGTTGCTCAAGTGTTAGGGACTACCTAGCAAGTACAAGGCTGAATTCAACTCTCAGAACCACCCCCTCCCAAAAGACTCCCCAAACACACAAAAAAACAAGCACACACACACACCCTGCAAGTGGTGAGGTAGTATCTCCCTACCACCAAAATCTCCATCTCTGTCAGTGCTCCACAATTAGTTATTGTTGAAAAAAACAAAATAAAACTTAAAACAGGAGTAAATCAATTCTCAAATGATTTGCCTCTGAAATATAAGAAAAAATGCAGTTAATTAACCTCATCAAATGTTTTACAATATTCTTTACCATCTGCAACAAGGCAGCTTTACCACAAGTCTGTTTCACTAAATCCAGTGATTATAAATATCAATGTGTCTTAAAATAATTAAACAAAATATTACTAACTTTATTGATATTTACTGATACACTTTGTTTTTTGTAGGACTGGGGTTTGAAGCCAGGGCTTCAGGCTTGCAAAGCAGGCGCTCTACCCCATAAATTACACCTTCAGTCCATTTTTCTCTGATTTGGAGATGGGGTCTTGGGAACTATTTGCCTAGGTTGACCTCAAACTGCCAGCCTCCCAATCTTAACCTCCCAAGTACCAAGATGAGCAAGCGGCCCCCAGCTTACCGATATGCTTTAAGTTTTACTAATGTTGGGGCATAGGGTAAATGAATAAAGTAAAGAAGGGGAATATGATTGATGTACTTTTTATACAAGTATGAATAGGGAACATTCAAACCTATTGAAATCATAAGAAGAGGACTAAGGTAGAAAGGAGAATAAAGGAGGGGATGAACTAATTCAGGGTATAATATACACACATAAGAAATGTCACAGTGAAGCTCCCTGTATAACCATCGTAAACAAAAATGTCAAACTGCTTGCTAAATTAAGAGAACTAAAATAGTTCTTAAAATATATTTTGTTTAATTAGATTTTGTTTCAATACTGGCCAAAAACAATCCCATCTCTACTGTTGTAGAAGTGAGTATTTTGCTATTTATGTTACAGATACTGTTCATTCATAAATTTGAGCCTCCTCCTTTAACCGAATTTCTCTCTTATTTTTCAGACTTTGTCCATTGGTGTTCTGGATATTTTTGGGTTTGAAGATTATGAAAATAATAGCTTTGAACAGTTCTGTATTAATTTTGCTAATGAACGTTTGCAGCATTACTTTAATCAGCACATCTTTAAGTTGGAGCAAGTGAGTACCTAAACATGTGTAGGTCATGATCTTGTATTTCAGTGCAGACAGTGTGGCGATCATAGCATTATGAGCAAATGACACATTAGAGCAGAATTTATGAGCCATGTCATATGGGAGTATTTTTTTTGTTTTAAATGCAGATGGTAGCAAAGTTTATCCGAATAGAAAAGGCCCTTTCAGAGGTGAATTGGGTCATTTTAGATATGGTGAGAACAACTAAAATATTGGTGATACTGGGATCTGAATTCAGACCCCCATGCCTGATCTACCTCTTGAGCCATCCTCTTAACCCTCTTTTTCTTTTATAATAGTCACCAAATAAACTTGCTAATATGTTCTTGTTTTTTTGAGTGCTTTATTGTGGCCTCATTGCTACAATCTTCTAGCTCTTTTTTGTTTTAGTTATTTTCAGGTAGGGTCTCATGTTTTTGTCCATGGTTGGCCTTAGATGGTGATACTCCTACCTATGCCTTCTGCATAGCTGGGGATTACAATCATATCCTTCATGCCCAGCTTAATTGTTGAGGTTGGGTCTTCTAACTATAATCCTCCTGATCTCTGCCTCCTGAGCTGTAGGTTGAGTGCATCTTTAAATAAAGATTCATGGGTTTGTTCTGGGTTTTTGTTAAGGATGTTGATTTTTTTTTTAATTCATATGTGCATACAATGCTTGGGTCATTTCTCCCCCCTGCCCCCACACCCTCCCTTACCACCCACTCCGCCCCTCCCTCCCCGCCCCACCCCCTCGATACCTGGCAGAAACTATTTTGTCCTTATCTCTAATTTTGTTGAAGAAGGAGTATAAGCAATAATAGGAAGGAACAAGGGTTTTTGCTAGTTGAGATAAGGATAGCTATACGGGAGTTGACTCACATTGATTTCCTGTGCATTGTGTTACCGTCTAGGTTAATTCTTTTTGATATCACCTTTTCTCTAGTTCCTGGTCCCCTTTTCCTATTGAACTCAGTTGCTTCTAAGGTATCTGCTTTAGTTTCTCTGGGTTGAGGGCAACAAATGCTAGCTAACTTTTTAGTTGTCTTACCTATCCTCATATCTCCCTGTGTGCTCTCGCTTTTATCTTGTGATCAAAGTTCAGTCCCCTTGTTGTGTTTGCCCTTGATCTAATGTCCGCATATGAGGGAGAACATACGATTTTTGGTCTTTTGGGCCAGGCTAACCTCACTCAGAATGATGTTCTCCAATTCCATCCATTTACCAGCAAATGATAACATTTCGTTCTTCTTCATGGCTGCATAAAATTCCATTGTGTATAGATACCACATTTTCTTAATCCATTCGTCAGTGGTGGGGCATCTTGGCTGTTTCCATAACTTGGCTATTGTGAATAGTGCCGCAATAAACATGGGTGTGCAGGTGCCTCTGGAGTAACCTGTGTCACAGTGTTTTGGGTATATCCCCAAGAGTGGTATTGCTGGATCAAATGGTAGATCAAGGTTTAGCTTTTTAAGTAGCCTCCAAATTTTTTTCCAGAGTGGTTGTACTAGTTTACATTCCCACCAGCAGTGTAGGAGAGTTCCTTTTTCCCCTGTATCCTCGCCAATACCTGTTGGTGGTGGTGTTGCTAATGTGGCTATTCTAACAGGGGTGAGGTGGAATCTTAGTGTGGCTTTAATTTGCATTGAGGATGTTGATTTTTAATTGGTCTTCTGAGTTTGGTTGCCATGTGTACTACTAAGTATGCTTGCTTGACTGTGTTGGTCTCCGAGTTCTAAGATGGGATATAGAAGCTTATTTACAGAACCTTAAGTCAGCACAGAACGTGGATACAAAAAAACGAGGGTAGCTTGTAGAGACCAGGTGTATGACTAGATATTCCTTGTGAGAATCTCAGGATCAATTCAGTCAGTAGAAGATGAATGACTTTTCAGTTTCCATGAGAATTGTTTGGGTGGGAAGGTCTAAAAACTGTGGGGTTTCCAGCTAAGTATGAAATCAGCAACAGGTTGAGATTGTAACCCAGAATTTCAGCTTGTGCATGAGGAGATGGCCAGCAGCAGGGCTCATCACAGTTAACTTAAGGAAAATGGGAAAGAATGAGAAGTGAATAAAAAACACAGCAGTTAGTAGATCTATAAAGTAAGAAAAACTGATATGCTCAGTCTTGGGGCTTGTTTTCTCTCTCCTAGTGTCAAGCACACTGTTTTGCATAAAGGGTATAATGACTGGTTAACAGTTGACATAAGAATTGTTAGTCCTGGCTACCTTAATGTATGCTTAAAGTTTTATTTTTTTTTTTTATTTTATTTTTTTTTTTTTTATGCTTAAAGTTTTAAACTTGACCTTTTATTTAGACATTACACTAGAACTGTTCAGTGATACCATTATTATAATATTAACTAACTTGTATAATGTTACTTATCAGGCAGGACCTTTTTTATCCTAATTTTATAGATGATGACTAACATAATTATTCGTACCAGAATTCCCCAGTTCCATTAATTATTACTTTTTACCAGAAGCTGAGCTGGGATTACTGTGTTGGTCTCTTGATTCAGTCCTGTGCTTTTTAAACTAGATCAAGCTTGATTAATATCTTTTATCTCTTGCAAATAGATGTAAGTGATAGAGGGATTAGGGAATGAGTTTTGTTCACTGTATTCTATATTTTCCAAAGAAAAGCATCAGTTGCTCTGTGGATCATTAAATTGCTTTTGAAAAAAGAAAAGTGTTCTTCTATTGTAAACTGACGTTATTTTTACCTTTTCTGTTAGTCTAGATTAGATATAGAGGAGCCATAAGAAATACCTTGGCTATAAATATTGTGTAAAACATTTCTTAACGGTTAAAATCCAGCTAAAATAGTTTGAGTGAGTGATTCTGAGTCCTGAATCGAGGTATTGGTATGATAACATGGAATAAGAGTCAGACAGGGAAATTTCTGAACTTTGAAGGTCTGTTTCCTTTTACTCTTTACAATGCTGCCCTTCTTTTCTTTACTTGTGTCATTAGTAAGTGGAATAACAGCCATATGCCAGTCATTGGGCCAGGCATTGAAGGTAGAAAATTTGGCATGTAAGAATCTGATTTGAGGCATTCCTAATCTAGCAGTTTTTCTTTTTCATTCTACTTTTGGTGATGTCAGAATAGAAAATTCTGACTGACTTTGGAGAACACCTCAAAAAGAGTGAACAAAATAACCTTGAAGGCACTAAATTTCAAATAGTGGAGGCCTAGATTTAGAGGAAGGAAATCTAGGTCAGCCAGACAAGCATTTGGACGCTATGTTCTTTCTAGAGACTTTTCTCTCTTGTGGTACTAGGTTGCTGCACCAGGCTCAAGGTTCTGAGGAATAGCAGAATTTTCTATTGCTTCAAAAGCTCAGAGGAGGCTCATGTTAATAACTCCTGTAGACTTTAGGTTTAGAGCCCAAAGGTTTACATATTTGAAGTGAAGGTAAGAAGAGATAGATTAAGCATTTAGGGGACTGAGGCCAAGTTCAAGTCATCTCAGTTCCTGATAAGGTTAAAATAGTATAGAATTTCTAGTGTTCTTAGCCATCTGTCAAGAGCAGATTGTTCTCAGTTAGAGGAAGAAGTCATCCCAGTGCTAAAATTACCTCTGGTAAGAAAAGAAAAGATCAATAGGGAAGAAAACTAACATGGATGAAAGCCAAGACAAGAGAAATGAGACCATAGAACTATAGGGGATCGAGGTAATGTCATCAGACATGGACTTTAAAGTAACTATGATGTCAAGAAAAAATTTTAAAAAGAGCAATGCATTTATTACAAACTATTGAACCCCAAACTATTCTACCCAATTCAGGAAAATCTAGAGCTAAAAAGGACACTGGAATTAAGAACACAAGATGATTTTTGGTAGTTAGATACAAGTTAAGAGAAAGTGAATTGGAAGACAGGCAAGAAGAAAATAGCAAGCATGATGAATGAAGATTTTTGTCACACTGGGACCTACCCCAAACCCAAAAAACACATATTTGAGGAGCTCTAAACACCCCTCAAAAAGTCTGAAAGGCACCCAGAGGAAACAAAAAATAACATGGTAAATGATGCAACAGTAAGTCTAGCAGTGAACTTTACACAACAGTCAGTGGAAGTTAAAAGACAATGGGATATTTTTCTTATAAGTGATGTGTTATTTGGACACTAGCTGATTTATCTCCAATTATAACTCAAAGGAGCAGTAAGGAAAGAAAAACAGAAATATTTTTAAAAGTGGGTGAATGTAAATGAATCTATTAAAGTTAGACAAAGATAAGGATAAAATATGGTTTAATGTTTAAATAGAACTAAAACACATGAGGGCAATAGCATTTAAGTTAGGAGGGGGAGTAAGTGGAATTTAAGGTGTAAGATTTTGTATTAACTGCTAATTTAAGGAGGATTTTATTTCTATTAGACATTGATAAGGAGGCATAATATAATTTCTAGAATAGCCACAAATAGTGAGATAATACAAAACTTTCCAAAGTCAATATAGGTTGCAAGGAAATTATGAACAAGTCAAGAAATCCAAAAGAAAGCAAAAAAGAGAATAAAAGGGAGGCCATATAGCTGAGTGTCATGGAGCACACCTGTACTCTTAGCTACTGGGGAGGCTGAGGGGCTGGAGGATCACGTGAACCCAGAAGTTTGGAGGCTGGGCTCAGCAACACAGTGAGGAGGAAAGCAAGATAGTGAGCAAAAAGAACCAATAATGAGATGGTTGGCTTAATCCTACAAATATCAATGATTGCATTACATATAAATGGATTGATTACTGAACTAGTACTAAAGATTGTCAAACTAGATATAATATAAAACTAAACTGCTGCTTATGAGAGATACTCAGGATACACAAAAGTTAAAAGGGCAGAAAAAATTGACCAAACTTTACCAAAAAAGCATTTGTAGTTGTCTTAGTGTAACATGTAAAACATTACTAGATATGAAAAGGAGTATATCATAATACTAAAAGGATCAGTTTATTTGGAAGTATACAGTTCTAAATTTATAGGTATCTGATAACATAGCCTC